ATAAGTAATAAATGAATTAGAAAAAAGGGAGAAGGAGGAAGCAGAGGAACGAAAAAAAAAAAAAGAATCGACAGAGGAGGGTGAATAAAGGAAGAAGAAAAAGGAAGAGGAAGAGGAAGAAGAAGAGCAACGGAAGCAAGAATAGGAGAAAAAAGATGAGGAGCACGAACAGAGGGAGAAGAAGGAAGAAGAAGAAGAAGAATATAAAAGAGAGAAGAAGAAAATAAAGAATCAATGAAGAAAATGAAGAAAGCATAAGACAAAAGAGGTAAAAGCAAAAAGAAGGATGAGGAATAAGGACAAGAAACCAAAATAAAGATAAATGATAATAATAATAACGACCAATAACTAAGCAGAAAATAACGGAAAAAATCGTTATCTCCAAATTCAAAATTCTATGACCATCAAACTTCTAATTTTCTATTGAACTACCAGTGGAGAGGGGGGAGGGGTGGTGGTTCGAGAGGGGAGGGGGAGGGGGGGGTGATTGGGGGGGGGGCGAGTGTAAGATACTTGTCGTTACTCTACTGTTACGCTGTACTTTCGGCGTGTGTTTCTCATTTCAAAAAAGGGAAAAGAAAATTGTAATTTATCTTCTACCAATATAGTGCTTTGTGAAACTGTCTCCCCACGTGATCAGAAAATAGGTTTGAATTCCTATAATAAAAAAAAAAAAAAAAAAAAAAAAAAAAAAAAAAAAATCTGGAAGACATATTGATGTTTATTGATATGCATCATGTATGGATTAACCTATCATGAATATTCTAAATAAGTATAATGGATGATATATGAGATCCACTCGAGAATTGCCATTAATACCGAAATGCCTTTTCATAAACTTGGTATTGAAAACGTAAATAAATCATAAAAAGGGCTTTTTTTTTCAAAACAATTCTAAACAGAAAATTCTTAAAAGTGTTTCTAACAGCTTCAACAATTCCATAATGAAGATTCCTTTATAGATAAAAATAAAAGCTCACATTACAATTTATGAATTCTATAGTTCTATCATTCCAACATTTTGCAAACCTAGAATGAGCTAGATATAAAAAGGAGGTTTTTGTAACTTAGAAAACAGCCTTTTAAATGCTATTTGTTGATTTCAATAATTCATCTATTCAAAACAGAAGTGAAATGCAACGAAAAAAGTAAAGAATTGCAGAGAATTGTATGACTATTCTCGTTGTTATACTGTTGATAATTATGATAATTGCAGTTCTCTTATTAATAACATAGATAATGATGACCTGATAAGGATGAGGACGATGGAAATGAAAATGAAGATATGATAATGATAATGGCGATGACATGTTGGAATGATGGTACAAAAAAAAAAAAAAAAAAAAAATCAAAATTCTACCTTATACCATCATATTTTCACAATAAAAAACTAAAAATATTATAACATTATTAGCACCAATAACAAACTTTAACCCTAATATAAAAAAAACAGCATAATGGCGGCCCTCGAGCGAAAGCAATCCTTCTTGCAGCAAGAACCCTCTCCTTCCCTCATCCACCCCAACCCACTCACATCCTTACCCTGAAGCCGTGAAACCCTGAAGACCTAAAGACCCCGCCCCCTTCTGATCACGTGAGGAGAACCCCTCCCCTTCCCCCCACCCCCCTTCCCTCCCTCCGCCCCACCTACAAGCCCCGCCCCCAAAAGTTCTCCTGGAGTCGAAGCCGCATACTTACTCGTCGACGCCAGCCATGTGATTGGGGACCTCTTCCTTTGATAGCTTCGAGAGCTCATCCTCTCCGCAACAGCTATGGTAACTCATCATTTCCAGAGCTACCTGTGAGGGTGGGGAGGGGGTTGGTGACGTCATTTGAGAGAGAGAGAGAAAGAGAGAGATGTGTTTGGTGGCGGTGGTATGGGTCCGCATTTTTATATACCTTTTATTTTTTAAATAGAAATTTCATATTTTTCTTTGTTTTCTCTCCCCCTTGGAAGTCGCTGGTTTGCTTGTTATAATCGGTTTTCCTTTGTAATTATCATTTTTCTGTATGCTTCTTTGAGGGGAGGGGTAAGGGGGTTTGGCGTTTGGACGGGAATGGGGGAAAGCTAGAAGGAAAGGGAGGAGAATGAGTGGGAAGAGAAGGGAAGAGAAATGCATGCAGCAGCCTAGACGAATACCGTGGAACTGTAGGTTAAGCCTCGTCTTACTGTTGTTAAAAGTTGTACAAAATAAGTATTAAAAATGCAAAGCTAATCATTAGCAATATTGATCAAAGAAAAATATTTATAAAAACGTGACTTAGTCTACACTTCCCGGCACGATCATATTCTTTGTATTATTTACGGCTCTGCAAACTGAAGAGAGAAAGGATAGGTTAGTCATCCCTGCAGACGAGCATGTAAAGAAAACGTGATTACCCAAAGAAAACGAGAAGACGGCGGCAGACATCTACACGGGGAAACTTATGTAGATCCTTACGAGATACTTACTCATCCACCCCAGGAGGTGCTTCATTTAGACTTTGTGCTTGTATAAGGTCAAATTCTTCATCATTACATGAGTTGTGGTAACTGAGCACCTCTAACGCTACCTGCAACAGGATGCAACTCAAATGTTAATTCATCTGCAATGTGCAAAAGACATGAAGAGAAGAGAAAGAGAAGAGAGAGAGAGAGAAGAGAGAGGAAGAGAGAGAGAGACGAGAGGAGAGGAGAGAGAGAGAGAGAGAGAGAGAGAGAGAGAGAGAGAGAGAGAGAGAGAGGAGAGAGAGAGAGAGAGAGAGAGAGAGAGCAGAGAGAGAGAAGATATAGAGAGATAGAAGGATAGATAGACAGACAGACAGATAGATAGATAGATAGAGAGAGAGATAGAGAGAGAGAGAGAGAAAGAGAGAAAAATTCTCAACAGCGGTGGGAAGAACAATGGCTCAGGTGATCCGCTTGCATATCCGGCCTCTAACATACCTGCAATATATAAGGTCGTAAAAATAAATATGAAAGTTTTGCACAATTAAGCACTGCTTAAAAATGAGTCATTAACAAGTTTTTCGACTGCTTAACCCAAAGCTTGTGAAATTATGTAGACACACGTTTTATACGCAAATAACGAAAGGATGAATATATATATACATACATACATACATACATACATACATATATATATATATATATATATATATATATATATATATATATATACACACACACACACACACACACACACACACACACACACACATATACAAACCCATGCAAACATTCAATATATGCTGACAGATGCATAATAAGAAATCCAAATTCGATACCATTTCTGTGTGCAACAGATCTCAAAGGAAACCAACATTTTCCTCTTTTTCTCAATAATTCGTCAGAAAATTAGAAAAAAAAACTTTGCGTAGGTTGCTTTGTGGCGATCGATGCTTGCCACGACCGCTTAAAAATTGCCATAAAACAGAATTACTTGATAATGAAAACCTCACTGTAAACAAATTAAAACTTTTTCCGCCCCCCCCCCTTCCCTTCTTCCGTCCCCTGCCCTATCAAACAGGTAACTTCTTCTGGAGCGGTTATCAAAGTCGGAGCGTAAGGTTGCGGTAACAAGCAAGCTAGTTACGACGCGCCAGGCTCACAGTGATGCCATTCGAGAGGAGAAGAATGGAAATCGACGCCAACGTTGCCAGAATGAGAGAATTTCCTACGCAGGGGTGTGAGTTGAATGTTGTTTGCCCCTGTTGCCAAGGTAGCGAACTGAGCCCGTATTGAATTCATTGACACAACAACACTACGGCGAAGCGAAGGGACGGGATTCGGATGCTGCTCGAGGGCCGCTTAAGGGCACGCGCCAAACAATGTGTGTGCGTGTGTGATCATATATATGTATATATTACATTAAAAAAAAAAAAAAAAAAAAAAAAAAAAAAAAAAAATATATATATATATATATATATATATATATATTATATATATTATATAATATATATATATATATATATATATATACTCCAAAGACGCACATACACTCATTTACATATATACAAATATATACTGGTGCAGATACACTTGCACATACTCAAACGCACACATAAACACACACACACATACACACATCTTTATCCTGTCTGGTTATCTATCTATATATTCAAACTCAAATCTAATAATTACGATTAAAAAAATGATAATAATAACCTTCCTTCTAAACCTTTACACTTCCGTTTTCGATTCCGATTAAAAAAAAACTCTACGGGGATAAACCGACCGTTTCAATAACTCCCTCGCCAAGCCGCTGTCTTCCTAACCATCTCACGGGTTTTCTTGCAGGTTTTCGCAATGAAGGCACACCAGGCATGGGCGACACTAGTGGTAGACTTTGGGGAATACGAGCACATAGCAGTGATAAGGCAGAATTGTAGCATTTTATTCAATACATCACTGACAGAAAATCGCACTTACAGACAGATGCATTTGGGAACGTGCAGGTTAGATAACGTCATTAGCAAAGGTCTTGTAAATCCAGTATTTGCATAACGCAGGTAGCAGCAGAGCGCTTGATGAACGCGTTAATATCTATTATAGCAAATGTGTAATAACAGCAGCTGAAATACTTTGAGAGCAACAAGGCAGGAGAGGCAACCTCAAGGGGGAAAGGAGAGAATCACTGAACAATGAGAGCAACCTAAGGGGGAAAAGAGAGAGAATCACTGAACAATGAGAGCAACCTCAAGGGGGAAAACTCACTGAACAATGAGAGCAACCTCATGGGGAAAAGGAGTGAACAATGAACAACCTAGAATCACTGAACAATGAGAGAACCTGACTCAATGAACAATGAGAGCAATGGAGGGAAAAGGAGAGAATCACTGAACAATGCAACTCTCAAGGGGGAAAAGGAGAGATCACTGAACAATGAGAGCAACCTCAACACTGAACAATGAGAGCAACCTCAAGGGGGAAAAGAGAGAATGAACAATGAGAGCAACCTCAAGGGGAAAAAGGAGAGAATCACTGAACAATGAGAGCAACCTCAAGGGGAAAAGGAGAGAATCACTGAACAATGAGAGCAACCTCAAGGGGGAAAAGGAGAGAATCACTGAACAATGAGAGCAACCTCAAGGGGGAAAAGGAGAGATCACCTGAAACAATGAGAGCAACCTCAAGGGGGAAAAGGAGAGGAACAATGAGAGCAACCTCAAGGGGGAAAAGGAGAGAATCACTGAACAATGAGAGCAACCTCAAGGGGGGAAAAGGAGAGAATCACTGAACAATGAGAGCAACCTCAAGGGGGAAAAGGAGAGAATCACTGAACAATGAGAGCAACCTCAAGGGGGAAAAGGAGAGAATCACTGAACAAACTCTAGTGAGGGAACCTTTCGGATTCAGGATCCTGCTGGTACGTACCGTCATAACACAAAAGATCCGAAGTCGATACCATTTCTCTGTACAAAAGAAACTCAAAGGGGAACCAAATTCTTTTCTCTTTCTTTCAATAACTCGACAAGAAAATAATAAAGAAAGAGAAAAGCTTTGCGTAGGTTGGATTTGTGGAGGTCGATTCTCGGTAGCCATAGAGAATAAATGGCGCTAATATAACAGGCTCCTCAATACTAACAAAGAACTCTGATCATTAAACCATAGCCGCTAACACAGGAAACAAATCGAACAGAGTGCCATTCCCAAACGTCAATAATTGTAGTAAGGCAACATCCGGTCGCCAGGAAAAATGCCCGACCACACCGCTTTCACTTCCTACTAGAAAAAAAAAAAAAAAAAAAATCCGCTGAACTCACTTCCTCGGAAAAAAATGACTCTATAAATTCGAAAAATAAAAGCTGGTTCTAGCCTTGCAACGTCCTTTTCGTGCAACTGAACCGCCCGGCTTTGGAGTAATAATCAACTGAAAATTAAATACAGTTCTACATAAGGCAGACGCGGCGGTTCCCAAGCCAGGAACCAGAGACCTCTTTCATGTATTTCTAAAGGCAAGCTTATCTCAAGGATCCGAGCAAGCCCCTGGACTCAGAGGTTTGTCATTCCTATAGATAAATCCAATACTGATAAATGCTATATCCTCAGCCTCGTGACTGTGCAAACCCTCTTGAATCCCGCAAATGTTAATGCGAGATCATTCATCAGACAACGTGGATTCTTCCCAGGATGCAGCCGCCGGCAATGACTTGCAGAATAACTTGATAAACTCACTCCCAGCCACATAAACTTCATTTCTGGATCTAAAATTTCTTGCCATAAAAAAACAAAAACGTTATAGATCAAGAGAGAGAGAGAGAGAGAGAGAGAGAGAGAGAGAGAGAGAGAGAGAGAGAGAGAGAGAGAGAGAGAGAGAGAGAGAGAGAGAGAGAGAGAGAGAGAATGAGAGAGAGAAAGAGAAAGAGATAGAGAGATAGATAGATAGAAGATAGATAGAGAGAGAGAGAGAGAGAAAGACAATGGAGAGAGACAAGGGGAAGGAAAAGGCGATATATAATTCATTCAACTCTAGAGCGTTTGACTTCGGCGCACCTCAATGGGGCGCGGTTAGACCCACAGCACACAACACCATATCGCCTTATCGCGTGGATTGATAGCCGGGCGCACCAATTAATTAGAAAAGATTCTATAATTTGACACGGAGATGACATCTGCATCAAATCCTGCATCCGAGTACTGTAAGAGACTGCTGATGTATTCACAGCAAAGGCTACAGAGTGAAGAATGACAATATCTGGATAAAAAAAAGTTACTGTGTCTATAATGCCATTGTCAATGTTTTATGTAAATGGCGCTAAGCTTTAGTAAATCTTAGGATCTCTGCCTGCGACACAGAGCTTAACTGAATTCTCGTGAAAAGATCAAAATTAATTATCTAAAGTAGGATGAGCAGTCCCTAGAGTTTAAGGATTAATTTCCTGTTGAACTGGAATACACGTGTACAATCGGAAAAAAATAAAAATAAATAAATAGAAAAGACACCCCTGATAAGATACTCCATTCCCGTTTTTTGTTTGCTTAAGCATAGAAAACGCATCAAACTTTTTTCTTCGTTACGGCCAGGCGTTACTGCTTACTCCAGGTAATTAAGAAACAAAACAATAAAATGATATAAGCACAAATAAATAATATATCATAGGCATGGGAAAACAGAGTAAAATAACTAGATGGCAATTAACGGCGTGGCAACTTCAGGCTTCTTAAGAATCGAAGTAAATCAATATACAAAAAATAGTCAAATCAATATATAAAAAATAATCAAATCCATATATAAAAACAGAATATTTAAAATCACCGAATTAAACGGTTAAAAGATATTTTTCATTTGGAAAGAAGTGGAATCAAACAAACTACTGGCGACTGTATTTTCCTACGATATTCTTTTATCTATTCATTTATCTTTTTTCTCTCCTTTTTAATACTTAACTAAATCCTTTCCTGCAATACGTTAAGAGCAGGCTTATTATTATTATTTTTTTACATCCGGGATTCGCTACGTGATGCCGTTAAGTAATTAGGTCTAGCAAGCCAGGATCTCCAACTAGCAAGCCAGGGAATCTCAACTAGCAAGTCAGGATCTCCCACTAGCAAGTCAGGATCTCAACTAGCAAGTCAGGATCTCCAATCTCCAACTAGCAAGTCAGGATCTCCAACTAGCAAGCCAGGATCTCCAACTAGCAAGTCAGGATCTCCAACTAGCAAGTCAGGATCTCCAACTAGCAAGTATCTCCAACTTTCTAGCAAGCCAGGATCTCTCCTTCTTTCTCCAGGCACTCCTAGGATTCCAACTAGCAGCCAGGATCTGCTAACTAGCAAGAGCCAGGATCTCCAACTAGCAAGCCAGGATCTCCAACTAGCAATATCTCCAACTAGCAGGCAGGCCAGGATCTCCAACTTCTCAATTGCATAGCCAGGGATCTCCCAGCCAAAGCAGATCTCCAACTAGCAAGGCAGGATCTCCACAAGCAAGCCAGGATCTCCCACGTCAGGATCTCCAACTAGCAAGCCAAACTAGCAAGCCAGGATCTCCCAAGCAAGCAGGATCTTCTCCAACTAGCAAGCCAGGATCTCCAACTAGCAAGCCAGGATCTCCAACTAGCAAGCCAGGATCTCCAACTAGCAAGCCAGGATCTCCAGGATCTAAAGCAGCCAGGATCTCTAGCAAGGATCCAAGCAAGCCAGACTCCAACTAGCAAGGCAGGATCTCCCACAAGCAAGCAGGATCTCCAACTAGCCAAACTAGCAAGCCAGGATCTCCAACTAGCAAGCCAGGATCTCCCACAAGCAAGCCAGGATCTCCAACTAGCAAGCCAGGATCTCCAACTAGCAAGCCAGGATCTCCAACTAGCAGCCAGGATCTAGCAAGCAAAGTCAAGGATCCTCCAAACTCTTACAGAGCCAGGATCTCCAGGATCTCCAACTAGCCCAGGATCTCCCAACAAGCAAAGCCAGGATCTGCCAAACTAGCAAGCCGGGAACTAGCAAGCCAACCCAATAGCAAGCCAGGAATTTCCCAAAGCAAGCCAAGGATCTCCAACTAGCAAAGCCAGGATCTTAGAAGCCAAGTCCCCACTAGCAATGCCAGGATCTCCCACAAGCAAGCCAGGATTTCCCACAAGCCCAATCTCCCACAAGCCAGGATCTCCCACAAGCAAGCCAGGATCTCCCACAAGCAAGCCAGGATCTCCCACAAGCAAGCCAGGATCTCCACCTAGCAAGCCAGGATCTCCAACTAGCAAGCCAAGACCTCTAACTAGCAAGTCAGGATCTCCCACAAGCAAGGCAGGATCTCCAACTAGCAAGCCAGGATTCCAACAGCAAGTCAGGATCTCCACGAGCAAGCCAGGATCACCCACAAGCAAGCAGGATCTCCAACTAGCAGCCAAGATCTCCAACTAGCAAGCAGGATCTCCAACAAGCAAGCCAGGATCTCCAACTAGCAAGCCAGGATCTCCAACTAGCAAGCCATGGTCTCCCACAAGCAAGCCAGGATCTCCAACTAGCCATCTGACCTCAACTAGCAGCCAGATTCCAACTAGCAAAGCCAAGATCTCCAACTAGCAAGCCAAGATCTCCAACTAGCAAGCCAAGATCCCACCTAGCAAGCCAGACAACTAGCAAGCCAGGATCTCAACTAAGCAAGCCAGGCAGCAAATTCTCCAACTAGCGCCATGATCTCCACTAGCAAGCCATGATCTCCAACTAGCAAGCAGGATCTCCCTCAAAGCAAGCCAAGATCTCCAACTACAAGCAAGCAGGATCTGCAAGCCAGCCAAGCAGCCAGGATCTCCAACTAGCAAGGCAAGCCATAGCCAAGCCAGGATCTCCAATCTCCCACAAGCAAAGCCAGATTCTCCAACTAGCCAGGACTCTTTCCAACTAGCAAGGATCCAAGCAAGCCCAGGTAGCAAGCAGGATCTCCAACTAGCAAGCCATCCCACTAGCAAGCCAGGATCTCCAACAGCAGCCAGGATCTCCAAACTAGCAAGCCAGGATCTCCAACTAGCAAAGGCCAGGATCTCCAACTAGCAAGCCACTCAGCCAGGATCTCCAACTCCACCTTCCTCAAGCAAGCCAGGACCTCCACCTAGCAAGCCAGGACCTCCACCTAGCAAGCCAGGACCTCCACCTAGCAAGCCAGGGAGGGGCCAGGACCTCCAACTAGCAAGCCAGGACTAGCAAGCCAGGACCTAGCCAAGCTAGCAGCCAGGACCTCCACCTAGCAAGCCAAGCACTAGCAAGCCAGGACCGCCACCGACGCACCTTCTAGCACGCAAGAACCTCCTCCATACAAGGCACCGTAAGTATGAACCTACGGATGATCTCTTCCGCGCGCCCTCGTTAGTGCGGCTGAAAGGGCTCCTCTTCGGCGGGGGAGTGAATGCGGGCGCGTCGAGGGCGGCCCGGGGGAGGAGGTGGCGCGGCCGGGCTCAGGCGCCGCCGACTCCTGAAGGAACTCGCCCTCGGGTTTTTTTTGCTTGTATGTGGCCGCACGCATACTTATACATACATACAAACAAATATTTTTTAGATATTACACACACACACACGCATACATACATATATATATATATATATATATATATATACATATATATATATCATATATATATATATATATATATATATATATATATATATATTATATATATATATATATATATATATATATATATATATATATATATATATATATATATATATATATATATATATATATATATATATATATATATATATATATATATATATTTATATATATATCATATATATACATATGAATATACGAATAACTTTGTATGTAGGTTAATGATCTCCGTCTCCGACCCTACAGGTAGAGAGGTAAAGCCGCCATTCACGTCTCCCCCTCCCCCCCCTTCCCCTCATCCTCCAAGGGAAAAAATCCTCAAATCCTGCCACACAACGCGCGAGGGAGTGGGGAGGGGGAGGAAGAGGGGGGGGGAGAAGGAGCGCCACAGAATACGTCCCGAGGGAGGCGTCCTAAAACCCCGAGTCGTCTTGCACTAAAAGGGGGAGAGAGGGAGAGAGGGAGAGGGGGAGAGAGAGAGAGAGAGAGAGAGAGAGGAGAGACGAGAGAGAGAGAGAGAGAGAGAGAGAGGAGAGGGAGAGGAGAGGGATGAGGGAGAGGGAGAGGGAGAGGGAGAGGGAGGAGGGAGAGGGAGGGAGAGGAGAGGGAGAGGGAGGGGGAGGGGTGAGGGAGGGGGAGAAGAGGGGGAGGAGGAGGGAGAGGAGAGGGAGAGGAGGAGGAGGGAGGGGAGAGGAGGAGGGAGGGGGAAGAGGAGGGAGGGGGAGGGAGAGGGAAAGGGAGAGGGAAGGGAGAGAGGGAGAGGGAGAGGGAGAGGAGGGAGAGGGAGAGGAGGAGGGAGAGGGAGAGGGAGGGAGGAGAGGAGAGAAGGAGAGGAGAGAGAGAGAGAGAGAGAGAGAGAGAGAGAGGAGAGAGAGGGAGAGAGAGGAGAGGAGAGAGAGAGAGAGAGAGTAGAGAGAGAGAGAGAGAGAGAGAGAGAGAGAGAGAGAGAGAAGAGAGAGAGAGAGAGAGAGAGAGGAGAGGAGAGAGAGAGAGGAGGGGAGGGAGAGAGAGAGGAGAGAGAGAGAGAGAGAGAGAGAGAAGGAGAGAGAGAGAGAGAGAGAGAGAGAGAGAGGAGAGAAAGAAAGAAAGAAAGAAAGAAAGAAAGAAAGAAAGAAAGAAAGAGAAAGAGCGAACCAGAGACAGTCAGACAGAGACATAGCCCGAACCAGAGAAAAAAAACAAAGCGAGAAAGAGCGAGAGAAAACAAAGCGAAGGAGAGGCGAAGGGCAGGGCCAAGAAAAGAGATTATATAAAAGCTTATTTTTTCCTCGCCTTCTGAGTGGCCGTCGCAGCTCCCTCCAAGGTGTCAAGAGACGCTTCCTGGAACACGGAACTGGAGGAGAAAGGGATAAGCAGGGACAGGGAGAAGAAGAAGAAGAAGATGAAGAGAGGATGATGAAGAAGGATGAAGATGAAGAAGAAGAAGAAGAAGAAGAAGATGAAGACGATGATGAAGAAGAAGATGAAGAAGAAGAAGAGAGAGAAGAAGATGAGAAGAAAGAAGAGAAGAAGAAAAAGATGAAGAAGCAGAAGATGAAAAAGAAGAAGGAGAAGTATAATAATAATAATATGAAGAAGAAAAGAAGAAGAAGGAAAAGAAGAACAAAAAGAACAGAGAAGAAGAATGATAAAGGATAGCGGAAGAAAAAGACGAAGAAGAAAGAAAAAGAAAAAGAAGAAGAGAAGAAAAAGAAGATGGAAAAGAAGGGTGGTAAGGGATAAGCAGAAGACGAAGAAGAAGAAGAAGAAAAAGGTGATGATATTGACGACGAAGAGTAAGAAAAAAGAAAGGGAAAGAGAAACTGACGTAAGCGGAGAATAGGTGTCGCTTCGTAGATTTTTTTCATCCCTACATATCGCATTTTGTGTCTGTCTGTAAATCAATATATATATGTATATATATATATATATATATATATATATATATATATATATATATATATATATATATATATATTATATACATTCATATATATAATATATACTAAATATGTATATCAACGAATAAACGACCTGATTTTACTGAATTGATTCAAACAAAATTTCTCCTGCTAAGTACGTCTATCGCCCACAAATGGCATCGCATTATCATCAACGATTTCCTGCCGAAACACACACACACACACACACACACACACACACACCACACACACACACACACACACACACACACACACACACACACACACACACACACACCCGAGTATCCAAAACACACACACACACACACACACACACACACACACACACACACACACACACACACACACACACACACACACACACACCTCCGAGTATCCAAAACAACACACATCCCTCCAACCCACCTTATCCCCTCACCCCCCCCCCCCCCCCACAAACCCAGGGTCATCCAAGCTCATCCCCAAGACCGGTATCAGGCGCGACCTACCTTATACTTCTGTTCGGACCGCCTTATCTTGTCGTAGAGCTTGGCGTGGTGGAGAGCGAGGCCGCAGTAGACAGCGAACATCTCGAAGCTTTCCTCATCCTCCTGTGGAATGAACTCTGCGTCACATAATTAAGGATTTAAGAATTGGTTCGTCCTTCTATCTCACTCTTTCGTGTATTCGTTCGTTTTTTTTGGATTCGTTTTTCATCTATTTTTAGGCGTTTTGTGGATTTGTTGAAAAATAATATCGTTGTCATTACTGTTGCAAATTGAACTTAAATTCGATGGTGATATTTACTTATATAAAATTATCATGTATCCAACTATATGTGTGTTTATCAACCTTTTTTTCTTATGACTTGATTGCATTGTATTACAGTCTCTCTTTTCTTTCATTTGTAGTTTTTCTCTCTTACTTTGTTTATCATTTGTTATTGTTTCATTTCTTTGCTCTTATCCTTTTCCTCTTTTTGGGATCACAATTTTTCCAACCAATCTTCTGCTATTTTTTCTTCCTCTCATTCCACCCTCTTCTGTGTTTATGTTTTTTTTTTTCATTACAACTCTCCCTCCCTCTCTCTCTCTCTATCTATCTCCGTCCTCTCTCCTCCTTCCCTCACTCCCCCGCCTCTCTCTCCTTCTCTCTCCATCCCACCCTCCCTCCTTCACTCTCTCTCCTCTCCCTCTCCCTCCCCTCCCCCTCCCCCCACCCCGATCCCTACCGACCTCGCCACCGACCTTGCTGAAGATCCCGCCATTCTTGTTGACCATCTGCATGACCCCGATGACGTTCCCCCGGATGAAGATGGGCATGCACAGGATGGACTTGGTGACGTAACCGGTCAGCTGATCGACGGTGCGGTTGAAGCGAGGGTCAGCGTAGGCGTCGGGGATGTTCAGCACCTGCCCCGTCTGCGCCACGATGCCCGCGATGCCCTTGCGATGGCGAATCTGTGGGGGGAGGGGGGGGAGGAGGGCGTGAGTGCGTGAGTGGGGAGGGGGTAAGAGTGTGGGGAGAGTGAGGGGGTGAGGGGGTGAAAGTTGGGGGGGGTGAGAGTGAGTGAGGGTGAGAGTGGGGGGTGAGTGGGGTGAAAGTGAGAGTGGGGGTGAGTGGGGTGTGAAAGTGAGAGTGGGGGTGAGTGGGGTGTGAAAGTGGGGGGGACTGGGGGGTGAAAAGTGGGTGGTGATGAAGTGGGGGGGTAAGTGGGGATGAGAGGGAGTGCGTGGGGGATTAAGTACGAGTAAGCTGTGAGTGTGGCGGGTGAGTGGGTAATTAAGAGATGATGAATGAGGGGGGGGCGGTGACTAGGAGTGAGAAGGAGTATGTGGTGTGAGTGAGCAGGTGAGGTGAGTGGGCAGTACATGGAGTGGGGTTGCCTGAGCGGTGAGAGCTTAATGGCGCTGACAAGGAGTGGGAGAGAGTGAATGAGTAGGTAGAAAGAAAGAGTGCGCGAGTGTTGTTGGGGTGAGAGGGAACGAGATGAGAGGCGTGTCAAAATGAGAGGGAATGAAAAAATGAGAAAGAGGGCGAGGGGGACAGTCGATCACAACAAACAGCGAATTTAAACCGGATTTTCATACATAATTGCCCGTATCTCGGTTTCTATGACGTCAGAGCGACCAAACCCTGACGTCAAGAAGTCACAACGGCCGCTATTCCTTCGGGAGAAAAGGTCTTTCTTTAAGGGGTGTCACACTAGCACAATTTCTGTTGGTTTTTTCACATTTCCGTGTTTTTTTTCTCGCAACCGCTTGTATTTTGGGGTGAATGCGATAAATTCCAGTCAAACGATAATTTATCGTTTTTTCCTGGCAAGTTTCCGTCGTCTTTTTCGTTCAATGATAAGCTATAATTAGATATAATCGTTTAGTAATGTAAAAAAAAAAAAGAATTTATATATATATATAAAACGATATCAAAAAGACAGTCTATAAACTGCTAAAATGATATTTAAAAAATTGGCAAAATCTCTCTTGTTATTTTATAAAAACAGATTACAAGTTATGTAACTAGCTGCTCGCCTGTTTGTTTATATATCATTATGTACCACCGTCTATGCTGACTAGGTGAAAGTAGCGAGATATATACGCCTCTATTTTAGAGCAATATAATATATTCTTCGTTATATGTTTCTGCTAATGAATCGCAATCGACTCACTAATAGCCAGTGTCCAAAAGACTAGCATTACGTGGTCACTATTTCATTAGACCAGAGGCCTGATATGCAGGTGGGTATATGAACACCAACATTATATCATCTTCTTTAGTAATAGTTTAAGGAATCCTTTGAGTTCGGACTGTTTTCCGTGGTTCTCTCATCAAGTAAGCTAGTGTGACTGCGCGGAGCCAATATAGAATTTTAATACCGTCTACTAGACGTTGCTATAACAGTTACGGAAAAGTGTAAGAATGCGGAATAAATAGATGCTGAGTTGTTGACACGGTAATCTCTTTATAGCCATAACCTGCTTAACTCAAATATATAGAATACTTTTGACAGTTTTAAAACCCATCTGAATTTAATGAGCTGAAAAATATGGGAACGGAGGTATTAATAG